CGTTTCTAAAAACTTTCTTCCCACGCGCGAAATTTATGGGTGGGGTCCCCCCCCCCCCAAACTCCCCCACCCGGGATCAGGCTGGCTGGGGAATTCTGGGAGTTGAAGTCCACCCATCTTAAGTTGCCAAGGTTGAGAAACAATGCTCTAAAATCATGCTGCTGTCTTGCAACCTTCAAAACCTTTTCCTTACAAGTGAGTGTCCAATATTGACTTTTGAACCAACGGTCACTGTTCAGTCTGGACTTCCAGACCGGCCAAGAGGTTTCACCGCTTAGTGGGGTGGCACTTTCCCCAGCCAGTCTGTGTCTAGAAGCAGGCCTTGTTTAGGAGATGCATTATTCAAATATGGTTGGCAAAACCACAGGCATCTTTTTTTACTGTTACTGAGGCCCAACTGCGCCTACCGACTTGCAGTAGGCAACAGGTTTCTTACCAGCATCACCCTGACGATGCTTATCATGTTTGGAGAACGCGTCTGAGTGTTGTAGAATATCCCCTCTTCTGGATCTTTGGAATCCTGGCTTCCTCGCCCTTTGCCTTCTCTTGCCTGGAACGGTCCCTTGTCTCCTCCAAATAATGGAGCCAGCCCCACCCAGAGGAAGCTACGGGTTCCTTTCCTGGGGATGGAAATCTTTACCTTCCACTTCCTGACCTTGCAGGATCTGCCTTTAGCCACTGCGGGGCAACCTACCCTTCCATATCCGTCCACTTTCCTTGGATTCCAGCCCCAGACATTTTGATCTCTGCCAACCTGGTCTTTTGGTCCTTCCAGAGCTGTTGGAGCCACCTCACTTTGTACTTTCTTAAGCATGATTTTTTTCCCCTTCCCTCTTCTGTTTTTCCAGTCCTTTGCCTGTTGAGATCCGGGCAGTTCAAACATTTCAGTCACCCATCTGTGCTTATTTGGTGGTTCCTCATAAAAGTATTACCTAATGGTGAATTAGGGTTCTTGATGGGAATTGTACCATCTGGATTGTGAGATGGTTGATCAGAGACTTCCCTTTGGGCTTCCTAGAGCATCAGAGCCTTTGGCATTTATGTGCCAAAAATCAAACATGGGGAAGGGACAGGAATGGAGCATCTTGACTTGAAAAGACAATGGCTGGGATTTGACGCCTGCCAGATATTTTGCATCAATTTTTTTTTTTTTAATCCCATTTACCATCTCAAGGACACCATGTTGGGAAATGCTGAACTAGGAACTCTTTCGATAATTATGATTTTCATTTCTACAATAATCTAGATCAGTGTTTCTCAGCCTTGGCAACTATTGGATTGCCAAGTTTGAGAAACACTGATCTAGATACTAGTACTGCGGTTTCTCCAGTTCTTGGTTTTTCATCCTCGCAACACATTACGGCAATCTCTCTGCAGGTATAATCTAGAAGATTAAAACTCTTGCAGAAATATTTGGGAATCCAGATGAGTTCTCTGCTTTGATTCCTGTTCCAGTTACTTTCCTCTCTGGAGATGATTCCAAACTTGGCGTCCCAAGGACTTGGGTGAATTGAAAGGCTCAAGCTGGTCTCGTGAGCTCTGCTTGAGTTTGTCTCTACTGTAGAATAATTCATTGTCATTGTCCTGTTCGACCAGTAGGACGAGATCATTTGGTCACCAATTCTTGGAACCGTCTCCCTATCGCAAACCTCTCCTGATAATGCTACTCTGAACTTCACTTTCCTCATTAGCTACTTCGCTTTTAAAGTTTAACATTTTAAACTCAGGCGAAGGGGAGTGGGTGCTTTATTCAAGCCATCATGCGGTCGGGTGTATGGCCTCCCTGTGGGACCACAATGCTTCTTTCACACACATTGTTAAAATGGTAATAAAGATAAAGATGTGTCCTTCAAGCGTTTTGGAGACCCTAAATTTGCAAGGCCCCAGGCAGAATGCAAGTGAATGTTATACACTTCTAATCCAATTTATGCTGGAGGTGTCAATCCCCTGGATGGGCCTTGGGATTTTCAGTTGCTAACTAGACTGGGTGATAATGAAAAACAGTTTTGAGAAGTTAGCCTGCTCCTTGAATTCCATGAAGGGCCTATATAAAATCATAAAAATAAACTTTAAAATGTGCTACACTTTAATCCTCTACTTCTACTCCCTGAACAAGGTGCCAAGGGATTTTTTGCAAGGATTTGCTAAGAGCTTTTGAGCAATAGAAATCAACTGTCATTGGTAGGACAAATAACATCCTATAAAATGTGTAGTATATTAATGGATAGTGTGAGTGTGGGTATATATATATATATACACATGTGCACACACACACATCTATATCTGTCTATAAAATGTCCACTTGTGAAGTGGGTGTGTATTTAGGTATAGATACACACACACGCATCACTATATCTGTCCATAAAATGCCCACTTGTAAAGCAATGAAAATATTCTTTCCTGGGTTCCTTGCTGCAAAAAAATTAAAACTCTCCTCTTTTCTTGAGGAATGCCGCTAGTTTGCCAGAATCAAAGAAGCAGCATTGGTCAGACCTGGATTTTTGAAATAAATGGGATACTATTCCTACAAGGAATCCTTTCGATGGCAAATGTGACCTGTTGTACGGATGATTATGAAGACTCCTAGTTGGGGTCAAGGCATGAAGGACGGTATGGTTTTGCTACTTCGGTTTCGTTTGTAAAAAAAAAAAAAATGCGCTTTTGAAAAACGCAGGAGTGTGCAAGCCACACGTTGAGTTCCGAGCTTGCTGATCAGTGTGAAAAGATTCCTCTTCCCTCTCCCCTGCAAAGTTACAAAAGCCGCGTTGCCTTTTTTTATTTTTTTGGCCTCTGGCTTTATTTATTCACGTGAGCAGAGACAAGCATTGTTGGCCAGAAAAACGGATTACCCGCCTTTCTAATGTGGGATCGTGCTTCTAAAGCAGGTTATCATCTGCCAGGGAAAATGGATGGCCTACCTAGGGCAGAACAGATCAGCTGGGTGGCTGTTTTGAAAAGCTGAGATCAGCTGAAACGGTCCTTCCTTGGTAGAGAGCTGGTGTCATGGGGGGGTAGGGGAGGGAGAATCGAACTGGGGAAGATGGGTATGGGGAAGGGGTAGGACCTTAGGCAGACACACTAAGGATTGCACAACCCAGTAGACCTGTGTTTCTCAACCTTGGCCACTTTAAGACGGGTGGACTTCAACTCCCAGAATTCTGGGAGTT